GTAGAGACCTTGTCGCCTCTGCAGGCTATTCCAAGAGATAGAGTCAGCAGAAGAGAACGAGTCATTTTTTCTTGGTTATATATTTACCTGTGAGCTGGAGGCAGGTGGGTACAACTGTCTGTACTTTCACCGTAGGGGAAAAGGGGGATAAAGAAGTTGGCTGATTGGCACAGGAAGTGAGAGAAAAGCAAAGTAATGTTTCTGTCTCCAGATGGGCCACCTCATCTATTATGATTTCTTAGAATAGCACAAAACACACACGTTTAGAATGGGTGTCACAGTAACTCCAGTCTGGACAGTCACACACTTTCCGTTCACAATCAAAAAGTCTCACGACTAATTGTTTTCAAATATTTTTCATGCTGAAAGAAATATTCATAATTCACCCCAAAGTGTAAGGGATGTTGGAAACTCACCGAACATTAAGGAGACTAGATCAATCAAGTTGGAGGTGTTTGGTTTTTCATTTCATTTCTAATTAATGGTCAGAATAAATGACTATGTATTGAGACTACGCTCCTGAACAACTGAGACTTGTGAACAGTGCAAACTAGGTCCCTTGATACTCCATTGATGCACCTTTGACATCACAGTCCACGTGAAGCAGCAGGTTCTATTTAGAGTATAAAAATCATTAACTGACTGCACATCTGTTAGGTCTGCGGATGGATGAGGACTCTATATCCTGTGTGTCCACCTGCTACGAGAAGGGCTTCTTCCAATGCAGTGGCTCTGATTCCTACCTCTGTAAGTAGCTCCAAAACTCAGCTAGTCTGGGCTTCTCTAAGACTTCACAGACTGCTGTGAAGATCGATAACATGTTGCTTTCCCTATCAGATGTGTTCTTCCACCATGTGTAAGCAAACATTGATTGCTATCATTAGAATTTGCAATAATTAATATGTGGTAACCAACATAGAACAGTTTTCTATTATTTTATCTTGGGAAGAGGCTACCTAGTAATTAAAGACTTTAATCTGCGATTTTATCGTCAATTTGCTTATTTTTTAAAGGGGGGGTGGAGCTTACAAATTAATCATTGTACAAGTAATGATTTATTCAACAAAAATGTCTTCATTTATTTCAGACTTAGGACTTTGAAATATTATTTTACCTTGACAAGAGGTACCTTATCAAAATACAATAGAGACCTCTCATAATTCTGTGTTGCTTATTGGCACATAGTCATAGCTTTCCTTGGAAATAAATTAGATTAAATCGTTTTCCTCTTAAGGAGATTGTCTAAACTAATTTCTAAAGTTCTTAGTTCAGATGAACCAAACTAGCAGAGATAACTCGTAAAATCTCAAATCCCAGGCTGCATTTAATTTTGAGAGCACAGTTTAATCAGCACCCAGGGAAATATTTACGTGGTTCCAAAATGCTCTTGAGTTTTTCACCTCTTATCGCATTGCCTGATGATTTCTTTTTCTTATTTTTTGTGAGCCAGGTGGCCAATTCCCAGGTAGAGAACGAGTAGAACCTATAAATGAGCACTGACCGAGGTGCTGAAGGACAGTCCGAGGCATTCTGCTACCAGGTGAATGGGTCTTGTCCCAGGACTATCCATCCTCCGGGCATCCAGTTGGCCATCTACCTGGCCTGTGCAATAGGCATGCTGGTCACGGTGCTAGGGAATCTGTTTGTGGTGTTTGCTGTGTCCTACTTCAAAGCACTTCACACTCCCACCAACTTTTTGCTGCTGTCCCTGGCCCTGGCCGACATGTTTCTGGGTCTGCTGGTGCTGCCTCTCAGCACTGTTCGCTCCGTGGAGAGCTGCTGGTTCTTCGGGGACTTCCTCTGCCGCCTGCATACCTATTTGGACACCCTCTTCTGCCTCACCTCCATCTTCCACCTGTGCTTCATTTCCATTGACCGCCATTGTGCCATCTGTGACCCCCTACTTTACCCTACCAAGTTCACTGTCAGGGTGGCCTTCAGGTACATCCTGGCAGGGTGGGGGGTGCCAGCAGCTTATACTGCCATCCTCCTCTACACGGACGTGGTAGAGAAAGGGCTCAGTCAGTGGCTTGAAGAGATGCCATGTGTGGGTAGTTGCCAACTGCTGTTTAATAAGTTCTGGGGCTGGTTAAACTTCCCTGTGTTCTTTTTCCCCTGTCTCATCATGATCAGCTTGTACGTGAAGATCTTTGTGGTTGCTACCAGGCAGGCTCAACAGATCAACGCCATGAGCAAGAGCCTGGCTGGGGCTGCCAAGCGGGAGAGAAAAGCTGCCAAGACCCTGGGCATCGCTGTGGGCATTTACCTCCTGTGCTGGCTACCCTTCACCATAGACACGCTGGTTGACAGCTTACTTAATTTCATCACTCCCCCGCTGGTCTTTGACATTTTTATCTGGTTTGCTTACTTCAACTCAGCCTGCAACCCCATCATTTATGTCTTTTCCTACCGGTGGTTCCGGAAGGCACTAAAGCTCATTTGCAGTCGGGAGATCTTCTCACCTCGAACACCTACTGTTGATTTGTACCAAGAGTGACTCCTTCTATGGCCTAAGAGGACTGGGAGCAGGCGAGGGATGGAACTGTTAGAGGAGACTCTGAGTGCTGCAGGGGCAACAGGCTGTGGGTGTCACAGATTGGTGAGGAGTCTGAAAGTCATGCTACCAGAAGAAAGGGGAGAAAGGGAAAAAGAGATGCAAGCTCCTTCATCTGGAAAGAAGTGCAGTACTTTCTTCACTCACTCTTTAGGAGCCAAAATGCTGTGTGAAAGTTTGACTCCTCACCCTTTGCTTCATTTGAAACAACTCCAGCAGATGCAGTGAAAGGAACCGTGGGGGGCCAGTGTATCTGAGTTTTCATCTGGGTCCTGCCACTTGGTAGCGGCAGGGTGAGACTGGTCCTCCCTCCCCACTGCCATAGCTTTGCTTATCTGTCAAACTAGGGTACTGGGCCGTGTGCTCAAACGTTGTGTCATCTTGCATTGGAAAAGAGTTTTGTTATTCAATTACAATTTGACTCTAGTCCATAATAATAGTCAAGGGTTTGAAATGTCTTTCATAAAAATGTTTCTTTTGTAATCCTGACTCTTAGAACTCCAAGCACAAGGAATGTTTGCAAAACAGGTCTGTCAATTTTAAAGACAGCTGAGTAGATATATAATATTCTTGAAGGAACTTTTTTGGGTAATTACTAGAATTTGGCAATATGTGAAATATTTTATAAGGGGTAATTTTTCACATCTGATAATTTTATTAATTCCTTCTTGAAATTTCTATCATCCATGTTAGATCATTGAATCTAAAAATTCCAAGCTTCTGACTTTCTTTGGGAGCCATGTCTGTGCCATGTGCGTCCTCAGAATTGAACCAACATTTCTCAGGAGCCACCACCACTGAAGGTGTTGACAGCTTTCCTGGACATCTTGCTTATTCTACCAGAATCATTCCTAAAAGTCACCTTCTACTTACTTCTCTTACTGCTTTTTTGCCTCCAAAGCAATGCCTGTTTCTTGCAAAATATATTTGTAAGTTAATTTGAAATCTCTGGAGTAAAGTTGTGTATGAAATACACAATTCTAATGAAAAAATAGAATTGAAAGATAATTTGACTCTATTTTTATGAACTTTTGAGGCCCCTTTGTGTATGCACACACATTTACATCAATATCAATAAATAAATGTGTACAGTGAATGAGGGAATGCATCTCAGAAATATTTCATGTATTAACCGCATAGAGTAACCACTAACTAAATTTATTAAAAGAATCATTAACTTGTCTATTATAATCTTTAAAGAAGTAAAAGTTATTTTATTAATTGCATTAGCTAAAATGTGCTTATTTCATTTATTATTATCATATGTATATATCTGCATATATGTATACATTTTTACACCTGTCTTATCTCATAAATGTTCTTTTTTGCCAAGGATGTAACATTCAATGATTTTATATGTTATCCTTTTCATTCTAAAAAATGTGTGGTAATATACGGTTTTTGTTTTTTTGAATAAATTAATTTTATTTGTTCCTTCTTCTGAATTTAACCTTTAAGCATTATTGCATAATTAAAATACTGCTTAAGATGAAATATATCCCAGTATCTGCATTTCGGAAACATTAAGGAGCTAAGGACACATCTTAGAAAAGACAACTGGAATTATTTGCAAAATACAAGTCAGGTATTACTTAAACACACACATACTTTCTTACCTTCCTAGCATTCCCATTCAAAATGTACTGGTCATGGCACCCTCTGTACGGGAAGTAGGAACACCAGCTACATCACAAGGAGACAAAACGTAACAGTTGCTGTCACAAAAGCAGAAAACGAGTCTGCCCCATTCCCATCGTAGTGTTTTCATTTTCTGTCAGGTGGCAAACGTTGTTATCAAATTAATTCCTTGTAGAAGGATCAGCCCAAGGTTGGTCCCAATGAGGTGGAGTTTAAAGACATCCCAAATGTTCAACTTTTCCAGAATGCTATACCACTCCATCATCTCTGATATCAACCACCACTTTTCCAATAAGTATTCTCTTTTTACATCCTAAGTTTTCAAAATTCACTACAATGTCTTACAGAACTCCCAAATTATTGTGCAGTTGTGGATTCTGGCAAGCCCCGCATCTGCAGCTCAGGCATCAAGCAAAGGACTCGTATGACCCAAATGGCTCATTTAAAACCCAGCAGGATGGAAACCCTGATGAACCCTCTCATCAGCTTTCCAGATGTTTACAATCACCTTTGAATCTGTTAACAATCAGTCATGACTGAACTATAGAATCCTGTCAGTATTTTCACCCACCTTCTCTTACCCATTCCCAAGAGCTGTTTGGTGGGAGTCACAAAGACTATGCTTCGGTGAGCCATGTCAGGTAGGCCACTGTGCCACCACTGTCTTGGCCAGGACCGGCCTGCACAAGGAAGCG